AAAAGATAAAACACATAAAGGAAATGTTCATTTTAATATGAGGTAGATGCGATGATAAGTTGTTAAAAGCATGAAGAATATGACCTTGCCTTGCATTCATTTGTTGAAATAGAAATAGAAATAGTCAGTTCTTATCGCAATTAAGAGTAGAATACATCGTCAATCAATATATTTCAAAACTTATCTGTTCACAAAATGATTTTGTTATTTTAAACTCGACTTTGAAATAAATAAATTTTGTTTTACTGCCGCTTTTTCGCTACAAAATGTTTTACTACCGCTTTTTCGCTACAGAAAAAGCTTTTAACCGCACTAAGCTCGGATGACTTACAGAGAAATTGTGACAATGAATTTGTCTTTTGTCTGGTTCTGCGTCAGGACGACGATTAGTAAGTGGATGGGTGACCACCACTAAAGATCAAATCACCGAACTATTTCGACGGCGTCTGACATATATATTTTCAACTATGTTGAGAAAAAGAGAAAAGTTACAGAAAGGCACTCTGTAGGGCTGAGCATGCAGTAAGAACCAATTCAAGTTTCCAAGTCTTGAGTTTTTCTGTAACAAAAAAGCGGTTGTAAAACAAAATTTATTCTGTTCACTAAACTTGTATTTTTTCTATTTAGTATTTTTTATCACTCTTTCATATTTTTTATTTCTTTGCTTACTAAATCATCCTTATGACAACAAGAATTCCATATCAAATGACGTTATGAACAAATTCAAGCTACGTAAATGTAAATGTTATATATTCTTTGTTCTTGTAATTATTACTACCTGGTTATCATTTCAATTATCTCCATATAATACATTATCATTAAATATTTTAAATAAATTTAAACATCAACACAATCAATGTAAATCCGATAAATATTTTAGATTATCTATCTTTATTGGTGGCATGCCACGATCGGGTACGACATTGATTCGTACGATATTAAATACCCATCCATTACTTAGTTGTGGTGAAGAAACACGTGTTATGCAGAAAATTTTGGGCATGAGAAATATGTGGAGACAATCTAAATTAGAATGGAATCTATTGATTTCAGCTGGAATGAGTGAAGATATTCTTGATTCAGCAGTGAGAGCATTTATCTATGAAATACTTGTTCGACAGAGTCACTATAACACTATATTATGTATTAATGATCATTTTGTTTTAAAAGATGCCAGTTACATATCAAAATTATTTCCAAATTCAAAATTTTTATTATTGATTCGAGATGCAAGAGCTGTTATTCACAGTATTATGTCCAAAAATGTAACCATTATCGGTTTTAGTTTAACTGATTATAGAAAAAATTTCAAATCATGGAACAATGGTATTGATAGTATGGTTAAAGCATGTATAAATGCTGGGCCATCGAATTGTCTATTTGTTTACTATGAACAATTAGTTTTACATCCAAAGTCAACAATTAAAAATATATTTAAATTTTTAACTATACCATGGGCAGACAGTGTATTACATCATGATAAGTTAATTGGTGAAAAAATATTATTATTTAAAACAGCATATTTCAGTGATCAAATCATTAAACTGATTAATTTAGAATCATTGACAAAATGGTTTGGACATATACCAGATACTGTTAAACGAGAAATTGATATATTAGCACCAATGTTAAAACAACTAGGCTATGATACACAATCTGAGATGCCATTCTACGGTGAACCAGATCATTCTGTAATTGACAATTCTAATAATGTTAAAAAAAATACATCATTTTGGAATGATCAGATGAGACGCTTTGCAGATTCTGATGTTTGAAAAAAATGAACTGCATAAAACAAACAAAATTAAATCATGGAAATCATTAGTGTTGTGATACAGATTCATCTCAGGTTTATGTTTCATTTGTCAGATTAAATCGCACTAGTTCGAGGCGCTTTGCGATACTTAGTAATCACAAAAAAAGTTTTGTTTTTCAAAACGACTGTACTTTTGATTCATTTTGCTGGAAAACCTTGCAAGTTGAAGTTTTAGAGAAAACATTTTCCTTAGAACAATTTGTGCTTTCTAATGTAAAAGTTTTGTAAATCATTCGAAAAAACAGAGAACATAGAACAACTGAGTAAATGTGTTAAAAAATGTTTGCTGTTCGCATAAAATGGTACTACTATCCGTTTCATAGGACAATGCAGTTGGTTGCAACTTGAATAACTTCTCAAGGGAAGTAGCTAGAGACGTGTGGTTTGCGTTGTTAGAAAGAGAAGACATAACTTTATTAGGAAATGTAACATTCAAGCAGGATGGACCGGCTTCTGGTGCCACCTATTGGTGGAACTTCTTTAAGTGGGCTTAGCGCCGAAAGTTCTTATAGCATGGAGTTGTCGTATGACATGAGTTTGATAGAGCAAACATTTATATTATATCAATTCACTTAAATAGAGACAGATATTTCATGTCTGATTCTTTTATATCGACCGCTTCTTTTTAGTTACTATCATGAAATATGCTATTTAATTAGATAAAGAGAAATATTAATTTTG